CTTATAATTCAGTCAATATTTTTTCTTTGTGCATACAAATGTATGTTCTTAGTAATAAGATTATGATTATAATTTTTATTATATACGATTCCTTTTTATCTATATTAATATGTTTGGCCTTAAATCCTACTGGGTACTATATTGCTAAACTATTTATTTTTGGTAGAATTGCTTGAAATGTCTTTTTCATCTTTTTCTTTCGTACCTTTAGGATAATGATTTAAAAAAAAATTTTTTTATTGATTATGCTGTTACAGTTGTTTTATTCCCCCTTCATTCCCCTCCACCCTACCCCCCCGTCCCCACCATTACCCCCCCTTTAGTTTATGACCATGTGTCTCAAGTTCTTTAGATTCTATATTTCCCATGCTATTCTTGCCCCCCATCTATTTTCTACCTACTGTCTATGCTACTTATTTTCTGTACCTTCTCCCCCCTTCTCCTCCTCCCACTCCCCTGTTGCTAACCCTCCTTGAGATCTTCATTTCTATGTTTCCACTCCTGATCTAGCTGTCCTTTTAGTTTGCTTTTGTTTCAGGTGTGGTTGTTAATAACTGTGAGTTTGCTGTCCTTTCACTGTTCATGTTTCTTTAACTTTTTTTTCTTAGATAAGTCCCTTTAACATTTCATATAATAAGGGCTTGGTGATGATGAACTCCTTGAATTTGATCTTATCTGAGAAGCACCTTATCTGTCCTTCCATTCTAAATGAAAGTTTTGCTGGATAGAGCAATCTTGGTTGTAGGTCTTTGGATTTCATGACTAGGAATACCTCTTTCCAGCCCCTTCTTGCCTGTAAGGTCTCTTTTGAGAAATCTGCTGACAGTCTGATGGGGAACTCCTTTGTAGGTGACTGTCCCCTTAGCTCTTGGTGCTTCTAGGATTCTCTCCTTCATTTTAATTTTGGCTAATGTAATGATGATTTGCCTTGGTGTGTTCCTTCTTGGGTCCAACTTCTTTGGTACTCTCTGAGCTTCCTGGATTTCCTGGAAGTCTATTTCCTTTGCCAGATTGGGAAAATTCTCCTTTATTATTTGTTCAAATAAGTTTTCCACTGGTGACTGTGCGTTTCCCCCTTCTGGTACCCCTATAATTTGGATGTTGGAGCGTTTAAAGATGTCCTGGAGGTTCCTAAGACTCTCCTCATTTCTTTGAATTCTTGCTTCTTCATTCTTTTCTGTTTGGCCATTATTTGCTTTCTTCTGGTCCACTTCATTGATTTGAGTCCCAGTTTCCTTTTCATTGCTATTGGTTTCCTGTGCAATTCCATTCACTTCAATTAGTTTCGCCTTCATATATTTGTCTAATTTGTGGCTATAATCAACCAGTTCTGTGAGGATCCTGATCACCAGTGTTTTAAACTGTGTGTCTGAGAGTTTTGCTATTTCTTCATCGCTTAGATTTATAGGTTCCGGGGCTTTGAGGTCTTCTTGAGCCATTTTTGGTCTGTTCGTGCCCTTTAAGTGTGAGGAACGGAGCCTTGGACTCCCAGGTCCCTGGGTTGTGATGCTGCATGTGGGGGCGTGGTCACAGTGGGGAAATGGCGGCACCCTCTGCTGTTTCTCACAGCTGGGTGAGGAGCAGCGCCTTAGGTGGTTCACCAGGGCTGGGCCACTCAGGTTGCTGGGTTATGACGCTGTATGTGGAGGTGGGGTCAGATCAGGGAAATGGCGGCGCCCTCCCTGCCGCTGGCCAGGGGAACCCACTGGGTCCCGGTCCAATCGCCCACTCCCTTGCTTGTCTATCCACGCACAAATGCACGACCACAGTCAACCCGCCGCCCTGCTCCCTTGCTGTTTCCCCGCTCGGTCGCTCACTAGGTCCAACCCTGCTCCTGGATTCTGCACGCCTGAGTCCGTCCGACCGAGTTTTCCTGTGCAACCCCGCTCCACCAACTGCTGGTTTCTGTTGCTAATATTTAGTTGTCTCTAAACTTGGTTGTGTGAGAAGGTACGGCACATCCACCTATGCCTCCATCTTGGCGGAAGTCCCATGATGTTTTGATATTTATTTTATAACTAGTGTATTGCTAGATTTTTCTTAAAAATCCAACCTGATAAATCTGTCTCTTATGAAAGAGTTAAATGTGTTCCATTTATGTTTATTAGTTTTGTATTTAGGATTCTTTCTACAAGCTTATTTTATTTTGTTGTTGCTGTTGGCCAATTGTTTTGTCTGTGACTTTCTCCTTACTCATTGCTGCATTGATATACATAGTACGTTTCTCCCTCTGCAAGTTAGAAACTATAAAATATAGTTGTATATTGCTTAAATAAATAACATCATGAAAACATGCATAATTAGCTGTTAGTTGTGACGTTTCTAATTTCTGTCCTCCAAAGCAAAACACCAATTCAGCATACTTTAATTATCCATTGAACATTCTCATTCCAATATAAATTTATTCTTGTCTGCAGTTTTAGTTCTACCATTTTTAGGTTCCCAAAGTTATTATTTACTTCTGTGATTACTAGTTCATGTAATTAACTCACAGTAAAAAATAGCTGCAGGCTGTCTTTTAGGACACTCCTAGGAAAAAGAAACACGAGCACCCGCTCCCTCTCTGACCTCCCAGAGGTCCCCTCGCTCTCGGCAAAGGCCGACTAACTCCTGGGCCAGCCTGAAGGGCAGCTTTGCAGCTGAGACATCCATCCGCCATGTTATCATATGCTGATTCATCATTTGTTCTCCTTTCAATGTGTTTCCATAATTTTCGCTCTTGTTTCTGGTGCATTAAATCTCTGTGACAGTTGTAATTACAAATCAGAGTGGTTTTTGTCTTTACTGTCCTTGTGCTGTTTTTCCCACAAACCTTCCCCCTCCTCCCTTATACTAGTGTAAGTGTTTCAGCACTCAGCATTTCTCAGAAAAACTCACATTCTATTAAACAAGAACTGACTGTCTGTCCAGGCTGGCACTAAGGTTGCCCTGCTCGTGCACTGCAAATCACCTGGGCTTTCCATCTGTGTCAAATCTGTTGGGCATGCTGCCCCCTGTTGTTTCGTGGCATCTAAGTAGCACAGTGATTACACGGTCAAAAGAATTCAAGTCCTCAAATGGTGGTGTTGTGCCCCAGCCCAGCGGGTATGGAGCCCTGTAGTCATCTGGCCGCAAGGGGTCAGGAGAGAATCTTACCTGCCACCAGGCTCCTGGGTCGGAGCCATACCTTGACTACAATTTCCAAAAGTGCCTTGAGTTTGTGGAATTAGCCTACTTTATTGCGAGCAAGCCCATCTGCAACAATTTTAGGTACACCTAGATATTTCAAATTCAAAAGACTGGAAGAGGCCTTTGTGGTGCTGGGTTGCCCAACTTTGTCGAAGACTATAGGGTGGAAAAGAAAGGCAGAGCACAGATAGACAGGTTTCTTCAGTTTTAGCTCTTAATTTCATCAATTCATATTGGTACACGGGCTGTTTTATTTTGTTTTGTTGCAACTTCTTCCTTCACCTTGGCTTCTCAAGGGTAAGGGAAGAGGGCCACGGAAGGTGGCATATGAGCCATCCTTTAAAAAGGCTTAAGCTACAAATAGGAATGAACATCTTTTGCATCAGCTAATAGTCATCAGCTTCCAGGTACCAACTACAGGAACACCTGGTTACAAGTTAAATTACACTGAAGGAAATTCTAGTATTTATAGCTCACTTACAATGCTTCCAGCCTGGCTGTGGTTCAACAGTCGGGAGTTACTTTTATCATAGCAATACTACCTGGTTAAACAAAAGGCTGAAATTTCACCATTGTAAGTTTTCAGGGAAACAGAGCTAGAAGATGTGAGCTCAGGATCCTAGGGTCACATGGTCTTTTCTTCAGCTATTCAATAGATCAGAAACCTAAAAACTTTTCCTTTATTTTTTCTTCCTTTTCTTGTTTGTCTATTCTTTTGGTTTCTTTTTGGATTGAGCATTTTTAAGGGAAAAAATTCTTTTTGTCACCTTATATTTCAGGGGAAAGCAGTTATATGTATATATCTTTAATTACATATATTTAATGAGAAGTTCCAAGAAATGATTAATATACATTAGATATAACCATATTATTCTCTCTAATAATGGATGTTATGTAAGTAGTTTTTTCTCTGAAAAGCAAAATGCAATGTGATGGGTCAAAAAATTATTCTCTCCTATTACATACATTCATATACATAGTAGAGGGAAGGGACAGGATTAGTGGAAGAGTATCAGGATGGAATGTATCTTACAGTTCTAGTTAACGAACACCTACAGCTGAACAAATTACAACTCTTGAGGTTCTTAAGTTTGGTGTTGTGAAAGAATACACAGATTTCTGAATGTTCAGTCTATGTGTGCATTTACACTTTAAATAGCTTATTTAGAGATTATGTGACTTTTATATTCCATAAAGGAAAAAAGGTACTGTAAAACTGCAGTTATTTAGAGAGAGGAGGAAAGATCACCCTGGGTCTTTAAAAGTTTAAATTGAAAAATAATGTTTAAAAAATAGTTGTTTGAATAATTTCAAGAAAAACATTATTTTGACACTGCTAAAAATAATTCTGTATAAATTTCTTCTAGATTTAATCTAAGGAATAAATTATTACCTGTAAGAAACCATTAATTATTTAAAAATGGATTCGTCTAAAAATTTTACGTACTTAATTAGTTAAGCACTCTTGAATTTTATCAATATTGTTAATTTAACACATATATTACTTCTCACCTAGTTTCAAATTAGAAATTATGATTTTAAGTTGAACGAACTGGTGAGATTATATTTTGAACATGTTTGACTCCATCACAGGTTGAAATGGAATATTAGTACTTTATGTTTTTCAGCATTGTGTTCTCCATGTATCTGTGTTTATAAAGAGTGATTCATTAATCATATTAAATATTTATGGCTTGGAATGATTGACTAGACATTAACACAAGTTGATAAAAAGCATTGCAATGTTATAATTGTAGATTCTTTAATGTTACACTTTCAAAGAAAAGTAAAGGAATGGTATCCTAATGGTTAACTTTTATTTTACTTTGCAGGTGCATTTTCTTGATTATAAATCAGTACCTGTGGACCAGAAGATGGAAAACCTAATGCGGATTAGAGATCTAGCAAAGGAAGCGAAAAAAAGAAATATTTTACTGTGTGGTCTTCTCATATATTACCCACAGGTAGGTAAAATGTTGGTCTCTTCAGATTGTATGTTCTCTAGACTACAGTTTTAGTAGTGGCATCCTGACTTTGTTAAAAGCAAAGACATATTAGTAAGAAAATATAGGCTGGAAAATTACTCATCTATTCATGTTCTATAGTAGATATAACATGTTGACTTGAGGGGAAAAATGAAAATCAAAACAAGCCCTGAACAATGTGGTTCAGTGGGTTGGGCATTGTCCTGAAAACTAAAAGGTTGCTGGTTCGATTCCTGGTTGGGGCACATGCCTGGGTTGGGGGCATGCAGGAGGCAACCGATCATTGTTTCCGTTGCACATTGAAGTTTCCCTGTCTTTCTCTCTCCCTTTCCCTCTTTCTGAAAATAAATAACTATAATATTTTTTAATGAAAACACGTGTTTTGATTAGGGAAAAAAAGATGAAAATTGGAAGGTATCTCATGCTAGATAGTCCGCATAGAATGGCCAGGTATGCAAACAACAATACAGAATGCCCAGTTAAATTTGAATTCCAGATAATAAATGATTTTAAGTGTGTTCCAAATTTGAAAGTTGAAATTTGAAATCCAAATTTAACTGGACTTTTGTGTTTAACTGACAGTCCGTGGTATCACTTATTTCTTTTGTGTTATGTTGAAGATGTTGGTAAACAAGTTAATCACTGGAAAGCAGTGCTTGGCATTCAGATTATAAGAGGCCATGTCATTTAATTTAATTAGAGAAAACACCGTCATTTGTCTTTTAATAGCAGCAGGTTAGTTAAGTTGAAGGTAAAATGAATCAGCATTATAGATTCTTTGTACAGAGAAATGTTATACAAATCAAAATATTTGGAGAATCTGTAGAGGATTTGCCCTTTGTATATAGATACCTTTCATGGAATTTACAGAATGCTTTATAGTCTCTCAGCAATACCATGCAGGAGTCAAAGAAATGAAATAGTTGACTGCTTTTGTAATGATTTGGAGTGAAGGTTATTTGGTACTGGCTGTCCAGGAAATGACAGGTATTTAATGTTATGATTGACAAATAACAGTTATTGTTGCTGAAATATTTAAGGTGCCTTTTTAGACTGAAGGTAACATTTCTTGTGAAACAAATGGATTTTAATTAAATGCAAGGATCATCTTTTAGGCAATCCTTCCATTTTCTTTAAATTTTGAGGTTGTTTCCTCTGCTTCCAAAATATGAAAGCATGACCTCCAGTTAGTCACTGAGCACAAGGCAAAGTTGAGTTCACTTAGGATCATGGGCTCATACAACATTAGCGCTGTGGGGTTATTGGAGTCAGAACAACCAGAGCCTCAAGAGATACATGAACTTGCCCAAGGACTGGTAACTGGCAGAGTTCAGGAATATTTTCTCTTCATTCGATTGCCTTTGGTTGTACTCTAGGTTATTATGGTGGGAAAAGTAAATCAGTTCCTTCTTTTGTGCCATGCAAGGCTCACAGACACACATTAATGCTGCACTCTGCAGACTTAAACTACGGTTCATTGAGGAAAATCTCAACAGCTGAGAAATGGTAGAGCCCACACAATCCCTGGAGCTGTCTATGACTTAGGTTAAGCAAAAACAGCCACGATGCACTGAAGCTGACATAGCAGGGGAGAGTTTGGTTGCCACATGAAATATAGCATTCCCAGTTAAGTTTGAATTTCAGGTAAACAATAATTTTTAGTATAAGCATATCCTAAATATTACATGGAACACACTTGCACTAAAAATCCTTTGTTGTTACTCTGAAATTTGAATATAACTGAGCATCTTGTGTTTTTATTTGCTAACCCTTGTAGAGTTCATAAATCCGCTTAACCCCTTTCTCTGCTCATCAGTTTTCATTAGTGTTTGTGTATTTAATGTGTGGCCCGAGACAGTTCTTCTTCTACCAGTGTGGCCCAGAAACACCAAAAGTTGGAATACCCCTGCCACATTTATAAAATGAAGTACAGTGAATGTGTGAGTGACTCTTGTACCCATGAAGGCTCCCTGATTTGAAAGGTGGCCTGGTTGCAAAGGCAGAGCCCCTGCTGCCTACTGCTTGGTATCTGATCTTTGTTGCTTTGAGCCAAGTTGGACCTGCTAAGCCAGCTCTCTACTAAACTTCCAAAAGTGGGAAGAAGATGATCCGGCACTAACCAGCAGAGCTACAAAAAGCAAGCCCTGAAGAGGTGAGGGGGTAACACAGAGGGTCTCACTACCTTCTTCCTGCTCCTGAATGCACTGTTTTCTATTCCTACAACTGCAGTACCAGAAGACATACAAAAAAGGACGAATGTTGCCAAAGTAGTTCTGTAATTTAAAAAATATATAAAATATTTATGAAAATCCTTCTGTATAACTCCAGAATAGGACATGGAACAATGAAGTGAAGCTTTTTGGGAACAACGTTAAGTTAGATAAAGCTGTGTGAATGCATCTGTCAGAAAGTATAAACAAGATCTGTCTTTTTTGATTAGTTAAATACGATTGTCCTTCCCTATTGTCTGGGCTTCAAAGCTTTTGTGTGTACTGTAAAGAACACTCAGGAAGCATTCTGGATTCTGAATCTCTTTGTAATTACCTCAGGTAAGTTCATAATGAGACATTAAGAAATATACGAATAGGGCCCACTACTGTAGGGTACCTTTGTGCCCAAAGGCCTGTATTTGTAGAATACAACTGCCATCAATTATTTTCCTGTCAAATGCACTCCGTTTGCTTTGTGTCTTCTAGACTTGAATTATCCTTCAAGTATGTGTGGTCATTTGAAGAACAGATAAGCAGATGTTGTCAAGTAGCAGAGCATGTATGTGTGTGTATATATATATGTGTGTGTGTATATATGTACATATATAATTTTTTGATGACAACCTCAGAGGAAGCTAGACTTAAAACTCTCCTTCCTACAATGAGCAATTATTTGGAACTTAACTGGGAATTATTTACTAAACACACAGTACTTTCCATTGCTGTGAATCACGTGGCATGTGCACCAAACACGCAACACCGAGTCTGTTTACAGAGAGCTGTAATGCCCTGATCAGAGTAATCAGGCTTTTTTGAAGTGGTTATGTTTATGAGACTAAATATTTTTTACTTTCAATATTGTTTTGGCTTTTATTGTTTAGACTTAGTCATTCTCTGGGAAAATATGAAGGTCATAAAACGCAGTGTCTCTTCAAATTGAGTAAGTTTGGAAAAGAAATCTGTTTTTGTGGGTTTGGTTAGCTTACTTGGAAGACTCATTAGAGAGAGTGGCAGTAAGCTATTGTACTCAGACACATCTTAGCCAAATGGAGTGTTAGATACAAACCTCTGCTACAGATCACCCCTTAATTTTTTTAAATAAAAAGTTCAACTCCGTGAATTACAATGGCCTTGGAAATTTCTTAATGAATGAATTCCTTTGAACAATGTATTAGTTAGCTATTATTGTGTAACAAATTACCCCAAAACTTAGAGGCTTAAAATGACATTTGTTATCTCCCAGTCTGTGGTTTCTCTGGCTCTGGGCATTTCCCAAGACTGTAGTCATCTCAGAGCTCCCTGGGAATGACGTGCTTCCGTAGCTCACTTAGATGCATTGGAAGGACTCGGTTCCTCTGGGGCCTCCGTTCTTTGGAAGCTCGTGGATGGAGACCTGCCTCTATTCCTTGCCAAGGGGGCCTGGCCATAGTTCATCTCAAAACATCAATGCTAGCAACAGAGGGAACTAACATGGAGGTCTTCGTCAAAAATCAGCAAGTGACATTCCAATACCTTTATTGTATCCTGTTCACCTGAAGCAAATTACTAGGTTCCACCTCCACCTAAGGGAGGTGATTGACAAGACATGGATCCCAGAAGGTGGCAATCATTGGGAGCCATACTGGATGCTGCCTACCATAGCAGTACCAGAGTGGTAATATTGTAGGCTGAGAATTATATCTGTTTGTACTCCCTGCATGCAGATTAAAGGGTTTGTACCAGAAGTAGGGCTAGAAATGTTTAAAGGTAAAAAATACACACAGATGCCATATACTCACACACATATATGTGCATGTATGTGTATATATATAAATGGGTACATATAATCACATATACACACATATATTTTTTCTCTTGACATATTACTGTAGTCATAACAGCTAGAGCAGGTTTATCAAGGAGGTGGAGAGCCAAAGACATGAAAACTTATTTTTACATTATCTACAATTGTTTTAAAAGAGCTTGATTCAGGTTAGATACATATCAAATGCTTTGGGGGAATATATTTATGGTTTGAGTTAGATGGGCTATATTATTTCAGTTCAGGTTAGTGAAGCTAGCATTACAAAATAATTGCTATAAAGTGGTGGTGTTGCATTTGAGAAACTTGTGACCCATTACCTTAAGAGCATGTAACTCAGAAATGTTTTGTCTCAGAAACTTGGAAAAGAGTTTCCAAGAAACAGTGTCGTGGTAGTAAGTCAAGAGGGATCAAAGGAGGCTAACAGTTCTGATCATTGGAATCTTATTGGTCATCTTCAGGGAAGATACGTATGTGGACGTATAGAAAATACTGAGCAATTAATTGGGAATCATCAGATTTTCTATAAACTCCAGTAAAATTCCTATTGTATCATTAATGTCATTGAAAAGTTTAGAATAAGATTTCATTTACTTTCTGAGATTTTTGACTAATAAAATAGAAAAAAACTAGGCATGACAAACAGGTTGGAAGAACAAACTGAATAATTAGTTCTTGGAAAAATGGAGCATTTTCTAATGTATATGGTATCATTTCAGCCCTTTGAAATAAAATGTGTTGTATATATCCTGCTCAGAGCAATTTTATGCAGACTTTCCTTAAATAACATTAGAGGGAGTGAGATACCTTTACTGTTTATTTTCATTTTATGGACACTAATTATCTAAACTTCAGAAGCAGCTGCACAAAGAACTCTAAAGTTTCAGTGTTTAACTGAATCGACTAGAGAACATGATGTGCATGCTAGAGACTTGAAAACCTCGAGTCGGGTGAGAAGTGAAACTAGA